TAAAATATTTTCTTTGTAAACAGACGTATGTCTTTAAACTAATGTTAAGAAATAAAAATGCAAATGATGAGTTAGTTCCATAGCTTAAGTGAGATAAAATCTAGATAAAAGTAACTATACGTCCTTGTTTTCCTAGGAGAGTCCAGGGTTATCTTTGAAATTCTAGTGACATTATTAACAAGGTGTTTCACTTACAAGAGAAATATTTTTTTCTCTTTTATATTTGATACTGAGCAAGCTTTTCTAAATAGGAGTCAAAATCCAGATGTAGTGTAGGGCACTGGGCCTATGGTCTATTGATTAAGATATCGGTTAAGATGCCAAAGCCACATCCAAGAGTGTCTAGGTTCAACACTGAGCTCTGGTCCTGACTCCAGCTTCCTGCTAATACACATCCTGGGAAGCAGCTGATGACAGCGCCAGTAGTTGGTTAACCACCACCCACATGGGACGCCAGGACTGAATTCTGGCTCCTGGCTTCAACCTGGCCTCTCATTCTTCTAAGTAAATGAAATGTATCTTAACAAAAAAAAAAGAACTACACAAAATTGAAAGCTTTATAAACCAAAATAAACTTATCTTTTGATTGATTGATTGATTTTCCACCAGCTTTTTGAAATACGCTTATCACATAACCAAGAAGAGAAATGAGCTCAAGTGACATTTGGGCAGTTTTCTCACAGTAAGCACTCAGTGGGTACATATTCTAAGGCTTAAAAATACCCACAAATGAATTAGTAATTTTGTAATGTTTGTCCAAGTGTACTTAATCTAAAATTCTTCTTTGTAAAGTAGCCTAGATCACATCACAGTACATATTGATGTTGGCAAGAAGCAGAGGACTTGGTGAAGGAGTGACAAATGTGTAACTTGAAAGGCAAGTGGAAATGTTTGTAGGTGTATATGTGCACTTTCTCATTTCCCCTTCCCAAAGAGCCTAGTAACAATGATAACCCATTAGCTGTATGCATATCTAGAGCTCAGATCTGAATTTTAAAAGCACTTCCCATTAAAGAGAGCCAGGACTCCTTGAAGAAACAGTCATTTCCATCTAGTAGTTAAGTAGTCAGACTCTTTGAGCCTGAGTTTTTAATCTTAGGTCTGCATTTGAAGCTGTGCGACCTTGGCAAGTTTCATAACACACGTGTGCTACAATTCCTTTTATAGTAAAAATGAATCACTGTAATAGCCAACACATAGCCTTTCCTATCTTCCAGGCACTTTTCTAGAACAGTTTTGGTTGAGTATTGGCTTTTTACAAGAAAGCTGGCTGAAATGCAGAAATTATAAATTTTAAAATGACATGTTTCTATTTATATATTTCAATATAATATAAAAAAATAAAGAAAAATATATGGGGCCAGCACAGTGGTGCAGTAGGCTAAGCTGCCAGCTTAGCAGCAATGCTGGTATCCCATATCATCGGAGCTCTGCCTTGAGACTCAGCTGCTCCTCTTCCAATTTAGCTCTCTGCTGATGTGCCTGGGAAGACAGTGGAGGGTGGCTTAAATGCTTAGGCTCACGTCTACCATGTAGGGGGACACGGATGGAGCTATGGGCTCCTGGATTTGCCTGGTCCAGCCCCAGCCATTGCAGCCATTTGGAGAGTGAATTAGAGGTTGGAAAGTTCTCTCTCTCTCTCTCTCTCTCTCTCTGCCCTTCATCACCCTGCCTTTCAAATTAATAATCTTCTTTTAAAAGAAAAATATATAAATTGCATATCAGATATGTTCTTTTTCTGACACATTAAAGAGATTTTGCAAACCAATGAAATGATATTAGCACCACAGAGGGAAACTAGCTGAAGTGCTTGAAAGGAACTGGACATAAATGAAAGAAAAAAGCCTAATAAGAGGAGGGAAACTAAACATGAGTAAAATCAAAGACATCATTATATTCTTACAACTATAACTACAAACAACATGAAATCTGTTCTTTTTATATTAGTAACAATTTAAATAAAATATGAAAGACATACAGTTACCATGAGGTGTAACTTGTGATTTTCAACTATGTATATTAAATAAAAAGAACCAGTCAGTGTTAAAGAGAGTTCATGCTAATGTCATACTAGAGATTTAGTCAGGAACTTTAATTGGTACAAATTTCCAAGTAACTCAAATGGGAGATTCAAATATGTATTTAACTCTCACCAAGTAATTCCTTTTCTAAAAATTTATACCAAGTAAATAATTATTGTTCATGAAAAACTATGACACAATGATATTTTTCTTGGCAGTGTATTGTCAAAAGAATTGTAAAGCACCTATGATACCATGATACCATGGAATCATTTTCAGTTATTTTAAGGGAAACTTTCTTCATTGTACATTTTTACATTTTAAAACAGTACATTATTTTTTTGAAATAATTCCCTTTTTACAATATAAATATAAGAATATAAAATTAATAAAAATCATAGATCAGAAAATCAAAAGTACTTGTCCGCAGATCATTGTGTCTAGACAACTTTTATTCTCTTTTCTGGCTTATGTAGTTTTTTACATTAATTAATTGGCTAATTAATTTGAAAGGCAAAGAGAGAGACAGACAGGCAAGCAGCATATGCCCCATCCACTAGCTCACTCCCCAAATGCCCAAAACAGCTGGGGCTGGACAAAGCCTCATCCAGGAGCCAGGAACTCAGTCTGGGCCTCACAAATGTGCAATAGGTACCCAAGCACTTGAGTCATTACCTGCTGCTTCCCAAAGCATGCGTGGGTAGGAAGCTACAATCAGGAATAGAGCCATGACTTGAACGCATACACTCCAGTATGGGATGCAGGCATCCCAAGCTGCATCTTTTGCTGTGCTAAACACCCTCTACAGTTTGTACCATCTTTAATTTCACACTATTTCTTCTTCACTGTAGTGTATGTAAATTTTGTAATAAAGATTAAAAATTTCAAATTATTGCATGCTATTTAGGAAGAAAGACCAAGACATCAAACACACTGACGATTGCAATACCTTGTCTTTCTCATTATAATACAACACACTTGTTTAGTCAATGTTAAATTGTATTAAAGCTTCCTTTTAGAAAGATGCTCAATTCAGTAAAAGTAACTGAATAACTTGAAACCAACTTTCAGGTATTCTAAAGAGAATTTAAGCTAGTAAGACTATTTTGGGCCAAACACAACTGATCCTAAAGATTAAAGACACAATTCTGGAGCCTTGATGCACTAAATCCTAGAATCATAATATGTCACTATGCTTGCATCATTAGAAATTTCATCTATAATGAAAACATTATGAGCAAACAAATGATGAGTTTTAAAATAACAAGCAAATGAGCATACAAATTCAGTTCACATTAGTAGTTTTCTGAAAAACCACTCTCATGAGTTCTGAAAAACCACTCTCATGAGTATATGAAATAACCTCCACATAATGAAAGTTTACAGAACAGAATAAGGGTTAGTTTCTTTTTTGGCTAAATGTATTTATATTGCACAATCTGCTTAAGGAAATCTTCAAAAGTATTGAAGCATTGGAAAAATATTTTTAAATGTATGATAAATAGCAGTATACCAAACTGGAGGTGGAATAATTACAAGGCCATCTAATATTTTGATGCAGGATTCAATAATGTTTATAATGCCTGCAGGTTTCAAAACACTGTAATAATTAAAACCATGAGTTTCAACAGCATTTGGGGTAAGTTCAACAAATGACTAATGATGATTTTTCAAACTCTATTCATCTAGTAATATTTTTGATGATTAAAGCTAGGGTGGACCTTTACATTATCTCAGAGATACAAAATCACTTCAACTGAAAAACTGACATCTCTTGGCTGTAAGAAAATGAAAACTTCATCAACAAGCATGATGGTGCCAGCCAGAAGGTTCATCTCAGCGTCCACACATGGAGGAGCGACCTCGAGCTGGGCGCTCTGCTCAGTTCCTGCATCACCTTTAATTCACTAACTCTGCTATAGTTTGGGGTTTTAATCCCAACTGGGATATGAATAACTCAAGTGAAGTTCCTGTAATGCATTCAAACATGAAGTGGAGACAGGAATCAAATTTAGCTATGCTTCATTTCAAAGCCCTTATCCTTTTACCATCTCTTTCTGTCTCCAATAAAATGAAGAACCTTACAGGAGCAGTAGTGCTACTTTTAACTTTTTGCAAAATCCACAAAAAGAAAATCATAACTAACACTAAATTATGGAAAACCCATGTATTCAGTCAGATTGGATTCCACTGCATATTTTATGAGTCAGTTAAGAAAAGTGTTGAGTGGTAACCTTGGAAGACAAATCAGTATTCTGGTCTACTATAGGGAAAACACATACAGTTTGATTTAGAACTCTGACTTCAGGAACAACGATTAATCCTTCTCACTTCATTCACATCGTCTTCACTGACTCTTGTATCTCAGTAGTTCAGTGTATATTCCTCTAAACAATGTCTTTGTCCAAAAAATTCTTCTGTATATATCTTATAGCCTCTAATCTTGACTTCATAATAGTTTATGTAGTAAATGATCAATAATTGTAATCAATGAAAATTATATCAAAACATCTCTGTAGTGTTAATTTTACATAAATAAAAATATAGTTTTAATTAAACAGCCTATGGTGACGTATCTTAAATATATGATTTTTCTAGCTCCTTTAGCTCTTGAGTAGCACCATTTTCCAGTTCTATTACCTCCAGAGTGAACATTTCTTTTACATTGTTCTTAGTGTAAAATATCTTACCACATAAAGAATTAATTCTAACTTCATAATACATCTTACTTTTATTTTATCTTCAATGCTAATAAAAATGATAAAGGGGAAAAAGTTGCATTACAAATTTCCTGGTCATTTTATAGACATACTCTAAATTTCTAATTCTTCCAGTTTGCTCCTACTTACAAAATTTACAATAACATAGGCTTATATTTATCTGCTTTTTTTAACTGTTATTTAATGAAAATAAATTTCCAAAGTACAGCTTATGGATTACAATGGCTTCCCCCCCATAACGTCCCTCCCACCCACAACCCTCCCCTTTCCCACTCCCTCTCCCCTTCCATTCACATCAAGATTCATTTTCCATTCTCTTTATATACAGAAGATCAGTTTAGAATACATTGAGTAAAGATTTCAACAGTTTGCTCCCACACAGAAACATAAAATGAAAAATACTGTTTGAGTACTACTTATAGCATTAAATCTCAATGTACAGCACACTAAGGACAAAGATCCTACATGAGGAGTAAGTGCACAGTGACTCCTGTTGTTGACTTAACAAATTGACACTCTTGTTTATGGCCTCAGTAATCACCCGAGGCTCTTGTCATGAGCTGCCAAGGCTATGGAAGCCCCCTGAGTTCACTGACTCTGATCATATTTAGACAAGGCCATGGTCAAAGTGGAAGTTCTCTCCTCCCTTCAGAGAAAGGTACTTTTTAATATTCAAAATGATAAGCAGTTTCGTTTGCTTTGTTCATAGCATGTCTCAGTTTAAAATGATGCTCCTATTCTCCACTGGCTCCAAGGAATAGTCATATAGCAGAATATTAGGCAGCATAATAGGCAGAACAATTGCAACATTTTTAAACAATATTTAAATCCTTAGTTAATAATAAATTGAAATACATCCAAAGTTTCCTTCTCCTTGATATAATTAACATTATAATTTCAATTATCCTGTTTAATTAGAGAAAATAAGAGTAGTCTCTTAGAAATATAGTTCCACAAATGGAACTAGAAAACAAGAAAATATCTTTAAGTTTATGGTAAGATAGACCTGGTAGAAAGTATTCAAAGCATAGAATACTAGCTTGTGACATATTGGAAAAATCATTCTCTTAGTTCACTGAAGTAATGATCAACAGAATTGGAATATTGATGCACAGCAAATTGCCACAAAGTTAAAAAAAGAGAGGACATTTTAATACATGACCTGGAACATAGTAGGCAATGAGTAAACTCAGACAGCTATTCACTGTGTTTTTATTAAGAGTTCTTTTTTTGTTTAGGCAATAAAGAAGTCAAAAAGTATGAGCCAGGCATATATGGTGTTTAAGTATGTAAACAGAAATGCAAGTGTGAGATAGCTTTTCTAAAATAGGAGCTGGGAATTTTTTTTTCTTTTTTCCTAAATGGTCAGATGGTGTAGTAAGCCCTACAGTCTGTTTTGGCCAAACAGTTTTAGTGAAGCTCCTTCATTCTGCTATGGTTATATCATGACAGCAATCTTGGTAAATGCATAAATGAACACAGGTGGCTGTGTTCCAATAACACTTGTTACAGAAACAGGCAGCAAAACTGACTTGTCCCTCAGGTTGTCGCTTGTCCAGCCCTGCTGTTTAAGCGGAGAAAATGGGGGAAGGTCTTCAACAGTCACTGATGTTAACTGTTCTAATCCATCTTTTTAGGAAAGACTATCCCATTGATACATCTTGAACTTCCAATCAATTATCTGAAGCACAAGGGACTTTGTACTTCATGTTTGTATTACAGATAGTTAAGAGAAATCGATTTCCAGGGATTTTCAAAAAGAACATAAGGCCTTTTCTGGCCAGAAATAAATCACTAAATTCTATGTAGGAGATTTTTTTCCTCACCTAGAAGCTTTAGATGAGAAGTTGCTTTATATATATATACATATATATATATATATATTCATTATTGTAACATTCACTGGGGCTGTTTGACATGTAGAGAAGAACACAGATTACACCCAAAGCAGTCTCAAAGCTATGCTGTCAAATTACAATCCCCTTTCCGAAAGTATTTTATGGTTCCCAGGCTACTTTTGCTGATGTGAAGAACAATTCTGTTGGTCATGAAATCTGCTTGGATGATGATGTCTACAATCAAATTCAGTAGTCCGCAATCAAGATACCGTCATCTTATTATATTATTATTTGATTTCTACTATTTAGATTTACAATTTGGTTTCATTAATTTAAAATATTTAGTATTATTTTATCTTTCTTAGTAACTAGTTCAGTAAAGGTAGAGCAGGAATATAAAAAAATGAAGTGAGCATTAAACTTAATTTTATCAGATGTGTGCAATAGTTAAATCTGTGGTTAGAGCACAGCAAAATTGTAACTAAATTCCACTCTGTTACAAATCACTGCAAACAGTGTATTAGTTTGTTATGAAACTAGCTTATTATGAAACATAACAACTGATAGGACATGAAAATCAGTATTCTCCCTTAAGTTATTTCTTTCACGTGCAGTTAATTAGGCAAAGTAAGGAGATTTTCTCCGAATTTGTAGGGGTTTATTCCATATTTAAAATTATGCATACATTGTTGAAGTGTATTTGGAATCATTTTAATCACAAACCTAGCAGATGTTTCTTTGTGTCCTTTATTCTAAAACTGTTCCTCTTACATTGTGCAGCTAGCATACTTCTCTGCAAACCATTTATGAAACAGTCTTGTACCAACCAACACAGGTCTCAAAGAAGGAAGCTGCTTGTTGGCATGGGCTCTCCAAAGCCTCTGACAAAAATGATTGTGGAGCCTAAAAAGCAACCATAGGATGAGGAAGTTGGGAGAAAAAGATCAAAAACTATGTTCACTTTACTCTTCTAGCAAACAAAACATTTTGGATACACTTACAATGGCACTATCAGCAATCAGAAAAGCAAAGAAGACCTAGTCCTGTTATTTTTGTGGTTTGTTTTGTTTTTAAAGCTACAGGCACTACAAAACTTTCTAGGTGTGTTTCTCCTACTATTTTCTCATGCATTCTCTCTAACCCTTCAGGTACATATCCAAAAATCGCTGGGGTACTTTGAAAAGCTATAGGAAGTAACCTCTACAACCCACCAACTTAAAAGGACTGTTATTTCAAAATATTTCTTTTGTTCTAAGCTAAACATAATAAAATAATGAACTGAGCACAGTTTCAAATAAAAATGAACCAGCAGGAGACTGTTGCAACTTAAACAGGAACCCTTCCAAACGTGGCCAGCATGAAGAGCTAAGAGTTCACACACCTCTGTGAGAGTGCTCACACACAACAAACGCTTCTTGTTTACATGCCTATTAAGGGTTCCCAGCAGCTGAAATTATTTCACTCAATTTGATTCCATCCCATTCTCCATGGCTCATTTACCAATTCCTATCCAAGGCTATTCATGTTCCTTGGGAGAAAGCGAAGGTGAATATTGTATTTACAAAGGCAAAACCGAGACAGAAAAAGATTCCAACAATTGCTGTTATAATTCAGATTCCACAGTTCCCTCGTAAGACTATCTTCTCTGTCTGGAACTAAGCATGTGAGTTACTTACTTCAAACTCCCACTGACCAATGTCAAAGCAGGTCAAGGGTAAAGCCTTAAGTGGGCACAAAGAAGCCAGGTTCCCAAGTCTAAGAGTCTGTTCGCAGAAGCGAGGTCTGAAGAATAAGAACAGTACTCTCGGTTATGTGCAAAATATATTTTGCACCACTTGCAACTTCTACCATTTCGTTCTTGCTTCTTTGCTACCTATTTGAAGAAATATGGGCTTTAATTAATAAAGATTTTGCTTTACCTTAAAGCACGCCTTTATTTATCATAATAAGTAAATATGCAGCAGTTAAACAAATAGCTGCTTTTGGCAAACCAGTCTTTAACATTTGAGGTCCGAATAGTTGTGGAAACTTTGGGGCACACTGTCTAGCAAGGAACAACAGGGAGGCTCCTGAGGGGCAGGTGAACAGGTCCTGCTTGGTGAACAGGTTCCTCAGTGTCACAAGTGTTCCCTCAGGAAACAGGTCATTTTGGAAATGAGGATTTGCATGCTTTCTGCATGTATGTTTTGCCTTAATAAAAAATTTTCCTAACAAATTCATACTTATTTTTGACTTCTGTCAGAATAGGTTACATGCTATGCCTGAGCATAAAAGCCATAAGTGTGTGTTCTATCACCTGCAGGCACCTGTTGAACTCTGATGGTGACAGCAGGCCTGACTGATTTCATGAGAGTCTTTCCGATGTTTTCCCTGTAAGTAAGATGCGGGCTTTTGGAGTATGGTAGACTGTTTGACTTCAGAATTACTTCTTTTTTCTTTGTTTGAAAACAGATTAGTTATAGGTTTTTATGATACACACTCCAGATGTTTTATATATAATATGTATCACATTTGTATATAACACATTTCACCACATTTGTAATTGCATATGTAGTGTTACACACACACACACAATTTTCTCAAGCATACACAAGTCCCTGTGACTCTCATTAATCCCATATAGGTACAAAGTTAACTGCATATTCTCATCTGCTCTACTTGTTGACATGATTTCTTAGAAGAAACCATGAACTGAAAAAAAAAAAAAAAAAAACTTACACTGTTCTGATGTTCTATATAAATTTGCCTAAGTTTAAGAAACCCTGCTCAATATTGTTAAAATACTTGTTCTTGATGTTACTAGTCCAGAAAGTCTACTCTTATCCAGAGGAAACAGAATAAACAATACTTAGTACATAGACTAATCATTGTTAACTATTACATTCACACTTCATATTCATATACACTTGATATATTGTGCAATGCCAAATGATGAAATGATGAAGTGTCAACATTGTTTTGTTTACTTATTTTGGATGTCTAAAAAATTTTAGTCAATATAGTACTGTTACCCCAGAGCAGACTCACAAAAGTTTATGACTGTATCTACATTAGTGATATCAACTTTATTCAGAATAAAATAACCCACCTGCCTCAAAGCCAATAAACTTCAATTTTGTTTAACTGAGTCACATAGGTTTAATTATATATTGAGGTATCAAATAAAGCAGAAACAGAATTTGAGTTTTAAATTAGTGACCTGAGGCAGTTATATATGATGGTTCCTGCACAGAATATTTTTGAAATGGATTTCTCTACAAATGGAAGGAAATATATAAAAATATATAAATTTTCTTTCAGAAAAAATGCAGAAATATGTACAAAGAACTTTTAACTCTTAGGTAACAAAAAAGTAGTCATATTGACAATTCTAGTCCTCTGTTTTCCTATTTTCTATTTAATTTCTCTAACACTTTAAATTCCATTTAAAAATGACATAAGGGAGTAGGCATTCTCTTATCAAGCATAATTCCCAAACCCCACCGTTTACTTAAATTTGCTGCTAAGGCATACCCTGGAAGGCAGTGGTGATGGCTTAGGTAACAGGGATCCTGTCACCCACGTGGGAAACTTGGATTAGCTTCCCGGCTCCAGGTTTTGGCCTTTTGTCCCAGCAGTTGCAAGCATCTGGTGAGTGAACCAGGGAAAGAGAATTATTTTTGTAGTTCTGCCTCTCCTTTTTTCTCTCAAAATAATATTTAAAAGATTACATAAATTGTTCTAACCTTAAAATGCATTCCTTTCTGTAATATAATAAATTTTGGAAAATATGCTCTTTGTAATGAAAAAAAATCTGAAAGTGTAAAAAAAACACTGTATTTAATATTAAATTCATATCATTCAATATCAGACATCAAAAGTCACTGTGACAAAAATGTTGAAAATATACTTACTAATTGAAAACATTAATTTAACATGAGATATATAATGAAATCACCATGGAAAATGTGTGAATGAAAAGTGAAATTATAGCTCCAAAGTTTTACAAATTTAATTTGGGAAAGAAAGGGAATCCACATTAATCAGCCTTTAGTTAAGAATACTGTCCTAGCTTAATAAATGTTTTAAAATTGAACTTTTCTTCTGAAATTGTCATCCATTGCTGTTACAGGAAAAATGGGTATTCTCCTAACAGTAAGCTTACATATCCTCTCAGTTCTGCCAATATTTACCTAGAAAACTCCAAGTCTATCCTAAAGAAAACAAGTGGCAGTGCTGTCTTACCTAGGAATGGAAAATCATCTCTGTTTTAGTACAGTTGGTAAAAGAATGCTTGCAGCAATGGTGTTGGAGATAGCATAAATGCTGGCTACCATTGGGTAAATAAAACTCAAAAAATCATGTCTCTAAACTGATCTTTAAAGATGGCACAAATTGCATCATAATATAACAAAAATATTGAAATACATATAAAGTAAAAACATGTTGACAGTTCACAAATTGTTCTATACTTTGTTGATTATTTTACACAGATCAAAAATTGTCCTCATGGGGCTGCCACTGTGGCGTAGCGGGTTAATGCCCTGGCCTGAAGCACCGGCATCCCATAAGGGCACCGGTTCTAGTCCTGGCTGCTCCTCTTCTGATCCAGCTCTCTGCTGTGGCCTGGGAAAGCAGTGGAAGATGGCCCAAGTCTTTGGGCCCCTGCACCCTCGTGGGAGACCCAGAAGAAGCTTCTGGCTCCTGGCTTCAGATTGGTGCAGCTCCGGCCGTTGAGGCCAATTGGAGAGTGAACCATCAGATGGAAGACCTCTCTCTCTTCCTCTCCTCTCTGTGTAACCCTGACTTTCAAATAAATAAATAAATTTTTAAAAAAATAAATAAAATAAATAGAAAAATAAATAAAAATTGTCCTCATGATAAACCATGAGTTTCACACTATTTGGCCAATAATATACCTTAGAATTCTGATGTTTAGATGATTAGATATTTTTCCAGGCTGATGAGCATAGTAATTTCTAGTGTCTGGCTAAGTTCACTTTTTTTTAAAAGAGTTATTCCTTTATTTGAAACTGAGAGTTGCAAAATGAGAGGGGGAAACAAATCTTCCATCCACTTGTTCACTCCCCAAATGGCCACAACAGCCAGGGCTGTGCCAAACAAGAAACATGTCTCCCATGTGGGTACATGGGCCCAAGCACTTAGGCCATCCTCCACTGTTTTTCCCAGGCCATTATCAGGGAGTTTAACCAGAGGTACAGCAGCTGGGGCACAAACCAGTGCCCATATGAGATGCTAATGTTTTAGGTAGTGGCTTTACCCAATACGCCATAATGCCAGCCGCTAAATTTACTTTTAAAATCATATGTGATTTATTTATCTGCGAGGCAGAGAGCCAGAGACAGAAGAGATAGCTCCCGTCCAATGGCCACTCCTTGAAAATGCTCAGCAGAAATGAGGAGTGAGCAACTCAGCACAGGTGTCCGACATGGGCGGCAGAGACCCAACTACTTGAGACATTGCCTCTGCCTTTCAGTTGTGAATTAGCAGGAAGCTGGAATCAAGAGCAGTGCTGGGATTCAAACCCAGGACTCTGAACCTGGATATGAGCACCTGAACTGCTAGGCTTTACTTACAACTCTATCTCAAGATGTACAAAGGCTTTGCTCTAAAAGAAACATCAACCATTCTTTGAAATATCTGATTTCATATAAATATTTAGCATAGAAATTCGGTGGTACAATTTGTCTAATTTTTTATATATGTATATATATACACACACACACACATTATTTATTTATTTATTTTAAAGTCAGAGTCACCGAGAGAGATGCAGAGAGTGAGAAGTCTTCCATCTGCTGATTCACTTCCCAGATGGCTGCAACAGACAGCGCTGGGCCTGGCTGAAGCCAGGAGCCAGGAGTCTTATCCAGTTCTCCCCTGAGGGTGTGCCATCTTCTACTACTTTTCCCAGGCCATTAGCAGGGAGCTGAATTGGAAGTGGAGCATGCAGGAGGTGAACAGGGGTCCTCATGAGATGTCTTGTTTTTTTTTGTTTGTTTGTTTTTGGGTTTTTTTTAAAAGATTTATTCATTTTACTTGAACGTTAGAGTTACACATAGAGAAGAGAGGCAGAGAGAGAGGTCTTCCATCTGATGGTTCACTCCCCAGTAGGCCGCAACGGCCGGAGCTGCACCAATCTGAAGGCAGGAGCCAGGAGCTTCCTCTGGGCCTCCCATGCGGGTGCAGGGGCCCAAGGACTTGGGCCATCTTCTACTGCTTCCCCAGGCCACAGCAGAGAGAGCTGGATCGGAAGTAGAGCAGGCAGGACATGAACCAATGCACACATGGGATGCCGGCGCTTCAGGCCAGAGCGTTAACCCGCTGTGCCACAGCGCCGGCCCCGAGATGTCTTGTTTCAAAGCTACATCACAGGCAGCAACTTTACTGACTTTGCCACAATGCCTGCCCCTAATTTTATATTTTTGATAAAGAAATCTAGAGATGCAGAGCAGCAGCTTCCTTGTTGAAACTGTGCAAAATAACCCAATAAAAGATTATATTTATATATCTATTTTATGTTTATGTTTGTTTGCCTTTTTTTTTTTTTTGACAGGCAGAGTGGACAGTGAGAGAAAGAGACAGAGAGAAAGGTCTTCCTTTGCCGTTAGTTCACCTTCCAATGGCCACCGCGGCCGGCGCGCTGAGGCTGGTGTGACACGCTGATCCGATGGCAGGAGCCAGGTGATTCTCCTGGTCTCCCATGGGGTGCAGGACCCAAGCACTTGGGCCATCCTCCACTGCACTCCCTGGCTACAGCAGAGAGCTGGTCTGGAAGAGGGACAACCAGGACAGAATCTGGTGCCCCAACCGGGAGTAGAACCCGGTGTGCTGTCGCCGCTAGGTGGAGGATTAGCCTAGTGAGCTGCGGCGCCGGCCTATTTTATGTTTTTACAAATAATGTCTTAGAAATGAGAAAACAATTGAATATAAATGATTTCTGATTTCTAAGGTAAATAGTTTCTTAAATCAGTAGAGAGAAATAAAGAATTTAAAGTCCATGTTTTTTTTTTTTTTAAATACAATTCAGTGAAAACTAAATTAAGGAATTCAACAACAGATACATGGAAATGACTTCTAACAAAAGAAATAGATTGAAAAGATCTACTTAAAAGCAGTGGAAAACATCAACTAATATTTCAAACAGTGAAAACTGATGTGTTAAGAAGGGAAAAAAAATCAACAAAACTTTGGCATAATATTGATTTTCCAATTACTATCTTTCAACTACTTCTGTTTGATGCCTTATCCATGCATCTTGGATGGAATGTAAGCCAAAAAAAGGAAAACAGCAAGGTGAAGACAAAGACGTTTGAGATTTTAGCCCATTCAGCACCATTTCACCATTGTTTTGCCTCATTTGGTAAAACACATGTGCTTTTATTTACAAGCTATAGATTTTTCTGCATTTATTTTTCTATTCCAGAACAAATTCTCCCTAAACAGGCCTGATGTTTCTCCTTACATAAAACCCATAAAAACTGAATATAGTTCTGTTTCAAGCTGCAATGAACTGACTAAACAAAGTGAAATAGCAATCCTGATAACATAGATACAAGCAAGTTGAATTTGATCTAAATAAAATTCAGCATTCAGGCAATGATTTTTATTCCTTAAAACTCCCTAGCAATTTCCAACATTAAAACATTGTGAAAGGGCAAAAAATGTCTTGCTTCATAACTAAGTATAGAAGCCAGCATCTAGATCATCACCAACAGTTCCCAGATTATGTAGTTGGCATGTGGCAGGGGTGGTGGACTTAATAGTAATTGTACAATGAGATACAAAACAAGGATTTTTTTGTCATATGCTAGACACAGATGTGCCTGATTTAGTTTAATTAAAAAATAATGACTTATAAATGTTAACATATTAGAAAACTCCATGGGCAACCTCATTAACAGATAATTCTAAAAAATTGATTAATATGCTTGCCATACTTGTTACGCTCATTTTCCATTGTGTAAGGTAAAGTTAAGAACTTTTTCAAATAATTAGGCAATTTCTTACCTACTTTGGGAATACTCAAAAGTCCTATTCTACTTTACTAGGAATTATATAAAAGTTTCTCTCAGCTATTTATTGCATCCTGAGAATAATCTACAGCTGACTTATGTGACTGCTTTAATTTTCTCTACTATCTGAACAGCAGTTTCTTCTCATCTAATGCTATTTACACCTTTCCAGTTCATTCTTAAATTTTAAGAGTTTCAAGGACAAATGAAAACTTAGACAATTTATTTGAGTAGTAACAGTAAAATTTAGCTTCCACTTGTAATGCATAGACTATATAAATGCTTTTGCTTATGTCAGTCCATTATATCTTCAAATTTGAGAAATCCTTGAAAAATTCTGAAACATATTTTGTCCTTTCCAGGATTAAATAATAAAACAGTTATTCTATTCTAATCAGGAATGATTTCCACCAAGCCAGATGAAAAGTATCACAGTTATCATTACTTTTCTTGTCTTAATTGGCAAATAAATGTGAGGTTGTGGTTGTTTGATATTTTACAACCTTCTCTCCTCTGTTCTGAAATGTTCTTGGATAGAGTTGAAAGCAAATGGCAACATATGGTCCGTTAGTTTAAATGAAGTGGGGGAAGAATGGGACAGATTATTAATGA